TGAAAAGCGTAAAACATTTCACTTCAAATCAGTCATACTTGTGTAAAACGGATTTAGTCCCGCCACCACTTCAAAAACAAATCAAAACATGCTTTTAAAACAGTACGGGCATTACCATAAATTTACTTACCTCACTTGCATAAAACCGAGCACTCAATTCACGTACTAACTGACAGAACGATCAAGAACCTAATCAAAATATCCGAGAATCAATACCGTACTATCACAAATTCAAACTGAAAACTTCATTAAGACTATCCTTAATCTCAATGCTAATTCCTATCAATCTCCACATAACCGGACATCTCCAAATTCATTCTTATATCACAAACTAATCATTTAAATTCCCGTTAAATGTTGGCCCTCGGGGTGTGAACAGTAACCGATGAACAGTGTCGGTGAACAGTGACCCGACGTGAACAGTAACCCCGACTTTCACAAATTGGCCAAAACACTAGCTAATCTCACGGGATTTTCTCTCCAAAAATCACAACAAGCAATTAACACTCACTCACATAAATCTCACTTGAATTAAGCTAAATCATGGTCCTAAAGCTATCAAATTCTTCCCCATTTTTCTAGCAAAATTCGAACATACAAGGCAGCAAACAAAAAGGACAATTTAAGCCTTAAATGGCTGTCACATACCAGAATTTACCAGCTAAAACCGGAGCTGCAGGGGGGAAGAGGCCGGCGGCAAGCTGCAGGGAAAGCTCACGGGTTTACCCAAAATTGAAGGAAATAAGAGCAATCAAAGTTAACCCAAGCCAATTCAAGCAAGAGAAGGGAGATTCATGGCTGTTTCTTACCCAAAACCGGAGCAAATCACCCCCACAAAGCAGGAGCAGCCGGCGGTGAGGAGCAGAGCAAGGCAGATCCGAAAGCTTCATGCAGGGGAGGGAAGATTTCTGGGTTCTAGGTGTGTTCTAGAGCAAGAAGGAAGGAGAAATCTCCAAGCTTTCTCACTAATTTCTCAAAGGCTGGCTGGGTTCCCTTTCTTTTTTTTTTCTTTCGGGTGCAGCGGGAAACAAGAAGAGCAGAAATGGGCTGGAGAAGAAAGAGGAAAAGGGAGAAAAGAAATAAGCCATCCTTATCCAAATTCTCCTCTTTTAAGTCCCTCAAGTTTGGACATTTCGGCTCTTAAACCCAAAACAATATTTTTCCACAATCAAGTCCTTAACTTACACTTAAATATTCCCGAAATTTTGGGATATTACAATGAGATAGAGAGTGATGAAGAAGATAGATATATCTCAACAT